CTGTAGTGATGTGTTGTAGTTACCTTTTATCAAAAAAAAAGAAAAAGATTTTCTAAATATTGCCATTAAACGATTTTTTTTCTTTAAATCTGCAATAGGAATTTCTTCAGAAAACTCGGCTTGAACACGTCAAGGCCAAGTTCAATGACCTCTGGCCAATTTCCGGAATCGGATTTTACCTACCTCAATAGCTTTTAACTACAAACCCTTTCTCTATCACAAACAAAATAAACAATATTTAACAATAAAAAAAAAAGTAGGCTGGGGCTGCTACTGAACAAAGCAACAACTCACTGACACAGAACTGGGGCCAGTAAGTGCCAGTCAGTGTCAGTATTGTTCAATGGCGTTGTTTTGTAGCCCCAGCCCCAGCCTGCTGTTTTATGTTGTTAATGTTAAAATTAACATTATTCAAAAACCGATAAAGGGTTCCGAAATGCAATGTTGAAGTTATTCGAAGCCCAAGCAAACGCAATAAAATTATTTGAGTACGTAATAAAATGTATAACCAGCTACCAGTAGAAATTTGTTACAAGGAAAGGCTCTTGATTTTATGACTCACTGCTGGTAGATACCTGGAACCTGGAAGGGTCTTTCTAAAGTAAACAAGAGGCCCGAGTCATCCTGGGTGTAGTTTGAAGAAAAAGGATGTATTTGCCTGTGATGCCTGTGAAAATGTAAAAAGTTAATCTTAGAGAAACTGGTATCGAATACAGACACATAAAAATTATACTTGGGTTTTATTTCCCATAAACCACTTAAAAGAAAAATAACAATAATTTTAATAGTTAATTATTGTTTATTTTGGTTGTGACGGAGAAAGGGTTTATAAAAGCAAAAAAGCTGATTCCAGAAATTGGCCAGAGGTGAGCATGGAAATGCTTTCGGAATTTATGATTTCCAATGCTATTTCAGTGCCGAAAATGTAAAATTAAAACTCACAGCACAACACTAGATGGAAGAGTGGAAACAAATAAAAATTTTCACATTAAGGGTAGGTAGGTATTAGTAAAATGCAGGTAGAGCAACCTTCCCAAAACAATGATTCCCTTATTGGGTGGAAACTTCCAAAAATTTAGACGCACAGAATAGAAAATGAGTATTTAATTATGAACTATGACATAATGGCCTTATGGGGTTATTTTTTGTTTCTTGATGGTTTGTGTGCCTTCTGCCTGTTTTGGACAGCCAAATAAATAAAAATAAATAATGTAAATGAATTAGAAAGTTGGGTTGAGTTTTTCATAGGGATGAGAATCGATTCCATAATCCGATACTTACAAATCTGTGGATTCGATAGGTATATCGACTTAGTTATCCCCGCCAGGAAAAGTTTATATGAAATCCATAACATCTGGATAAAACTGACCAATAAGAAATTTGGCGCCGTGACGTCACGGGATCAAGAAATTTGAACTTCGAATCGAAATTTAGAGCCTTTGCAAGTCCGGAAAAAATCGGGAAAAAAATATAGTTAAGATTAATTTTGACTCCTCTTTCCAATAAGCAAATAAAAAAAGTTCATGAGAAAAACCTATTGCAGCTGGCATAGTTCATAAGCAACCAGCTACTATGCAAAAAAACTGTGTGTTTTAGTATTACTAGTTTGGTCGTTATTTTTGGGTTAATGTTTTGAATAAAATTTATAGAAATATTATAGGAAGAAAGAGACCGAGAGAAAAAAAAACGGGAAAAAGAAGACAGGCCACTTAATCAGAAACAAGTAGAAGAAGACAGGCGACTGAAAAAAAAAACAGTGGCAAAAAGATATTTCCAGTAACGCTGAATTGTTCTAAAACATTTGGTAAAAAGTCAGAGGCGAAATAGAAACAGACCGATAAGAAGTCAAACATGGAATAGGAACGCTTAAAGGCGTAATAAAAAACTTTCGAGAACTAAAAGGCGGGATAGAGACAGTTTGCGTATAATTTGGCATGAAACATAGAAAACTGGAGTTAGAAGATGGGGCCATAAACGAGGAAAGTGGCACCAAAATGGGATGTCGGAGAGACCAAATTTTTTACAGCGAAACATCCTGTTCCATGTATAAGTGACAGTTTGAGGCCGCTGTTAGTGCAAGTGAACACATTGGTTGGCCAAAGATAAGGCACCCTGAACAGATCGAGCTTACACCTGCAGATGTGAAAAACCTTGCCGTTGGAAGGATTTCGGGTTTTATCTAAGCCATCAACCTAAAGACCAAAAGGTATACACAATAGATCCCTCTAGGTCGTAGCGAGCCTTCGGACTATACGACCCACCTATAATCTACAATACCCTTAGTGCAAGTGGATGGAATGAAAAGCGTTGGTACTGACATTGCGGGGAAAGGCGCTAGAAATTCTGCAGTATATTGCTGAAGCAAACAAAATGCGCTATCGGAGGTGCCTCAAAGCATAAACAGGTATCTAGTAAGATTTATTAGAGTCAGCTGAAAAGCAGAGTCCAACGACTATCAGAGACGTTCCAAAAATGTATTATGACATCGAGAGAATGGCCGGGTTGGCGTATCTGCGTAGCCTAGCCCCCTTAGCCTTTTACTTTTGCCTACGTAGATCTTTGAGGTCTAGAAGCTGTTCTTAATTAAGGTTGGGATTCGTGTTAATTACTCCTGAGAGCACAATCGCGGTCACCTCTTTGGGACACTTTATTGGAAGGGTGTCCCTTTCAAATATTCTCCTATAAGGTCTACTTTTGCTCTCAGTTTCTGAATGTCGGTTTCTAGTCTTCTCCTCCAGGCAGGCGTATAGTTTTTGTTGTCTCGCCTCCTATTTATTGAATGGTATGTCTTTTGGCTGTTTAGTTCGATCACAGTGACAGCGGTGCAGTGGATGGCAAGATTTATCTCTTGTATTGTGCGATAAGTTGAGAAGTACTCAGCGAGCACTTCGTTTGCTAAGGAGATGTTTTTCTTAGCCTTTTCCATATATCTTAAAACAGGGATATTTGGCCAGGTATTAGGACTAGAGTCACGGTATCAGGAGAAAATTATAGAACTTCTCCGATATTTGCTGCTAGTCTCCGCTAGTTACACATATAGGGTGCGGACTGGATATATTGTGGTTGTTCTCCCGCGGCGGCACCACCGTCAATTGTGGGCTCTTGGCGGATTGCATCATCAGATTGAGAATAATTGCGGATTTATTCTTGGCATACTGCCTTTCCTACATCTTATTTTTAGGCTTTAAGTTCATGGTTTGATAAGTAAGAACTTTTAATAATGATATTTTTGCGGTCGGTTACATTTTGTTCGGTTAAGAGGTGTAGTTCTGGGTGTCGTCTGATAAACTCGGCATGAAGCGCGAGCCTCCAACCTGGAGAGATGCATCGGCACACTGATTGACGTAATAGAACGAACGCATGAGTTCCCTGTTCAGTTCGCGGCTCCACTTCATACGTCCAGCATGAGCCCTCCTGCGAGCAGTCCTCCAAATAATGGGGAACGAGTCAGCCGGTATTCCGGCATTAGGTGGAACTACTGGATTGTCTGATTCCCACTTTCCAAGGTTTTTCTATTGCCAGGGTTTCGCGGTCCAAATAACCCAATGTGGTCTCCAGAAGTCTTGGCAAACTCCAGGTGAAGATTTTCAGACTTTATCCTGCGGTTTCTGCGGCCTAAGAATTTCAAAATGTCCACACTCTGATTCTACCACTCAGTCCTTATGTTTTTTCTTGCTTATCACTGTTGTGCTGTCTTCAATCGTCAGTTTGTTTAATTTGGTTCTTTGTTGCCTAATTATTATACCTAAGTATCTCTCTATCTATTTTATTTCAGTGAATCGTGAAAATCGTGGTAAGATCGCTGCCCACGCACTTTTTTCGATAGCGTCTAAATTAATATTTAAAGACCATCAACGGGATGCTCGCGGTGAATTCCACTTTTAATGACCTTATTAAAACCGCAAACCATGTAATGTGATTAATAAATGAACTAATAAATCTGAAATAATTTTTGATCTTATTCTTTATTTAGTTTATTTTAAAAAAATAATTTTTTCTACAACTGTCAAAAAATGATGATGTTCGCACACGCATGACAGTTTGCGAAGTGACACTTTTTTTCCCAGGTATTGATTTTTTAACGTTCCCATGACGCCGTGCGCGAACTAGCTATTTCGCACACTAGTGCGCGAAATAGCTAGTTCGCACACTGGTGTCATGGTGACACATACATGTCAGGAAACCAAAAATAATTAAAATTCACCTACCTTTGATTGAAAATGCAATTTTGGCTTCGAATGATCGATATTTAAATGCAGTTGTAGAAAAAATATTGTTTGCAACTCGGGCGCGAAATACTTTGGTGATCTCGACTATTTTTTTAACTCGGCTGCGCCTCGTTAAAAAAATCAGATCTCGATCACCAAAGTAGCATTTCGCGCACTAGATACAAAAATAACTAGAATGTGTATTCCGATGAAAATGAGAAAAGGAAGATCTTCTAAGAAGATTTGTCTCTGTGTTTATGAATGTTCAATTAGAAAGACAAAAAAATATATACGAATTAGGCGAATTCGAGAAGAATGACCAGACAAATACTGATCGATAATTCGGTCGGTAAGTATATGTAATTTAAAAGGGTATCGAACTAAATATTGAAGAAATTATTTTTGTTAAGATACGTTTTTTGTTTTTGTAAATTAACTATTTAATTGGAAAACGAGGCGGGGCGCCAATGGAGTAGTGAACTTCACCTATACCTAGCTGGGAGTCAATTTTTGATGAAGAAACCAATTTGGTCCTGTCAAAAAATGCGTGTTTACCGGCATTACTGCGTGTTTACTGGCATTACAGTCGTTGCTCGTTGCACGTTCATAAAAGTTAGAATCAGAATCAATTTTTTTCCACTTTTGAGAAAACACTGAGTGCATAAGTTTGAAAAAAATCACATAGGCACATGCAGAGTAGTCTCATTAGGTTTAGACGGAATATTTTATTTATAAATTGAATGCAGGTTGAAAAGCTAAGATGTAACTAAAGTAATACGTAGTGATACTTACTTCCCGTATCTTCTTTTTTACCCCAACCTATGACTGTGCATATTGTTCCAGGTTTAAGCTCTTTATTGGGCTTGGGAAGACATACTGGCAAAAGATGTTCGTGGAAAGTAACTCTGCTGGAAAGCTGTTGAAAAAGAGTTAAAATTAACAAACATATTTTTTATATCATACATTGTATTTTCAAATACAACATCAAAATTCTACTATTTAAAACTTTTGTTATTTATTTTTCACACTGGGTAGAAGTTTTTAACAGACGGTTGAAAACTTTTATAAATTTCTTTGAAAAGTTTTTGCGACAAATTTTACCTTAGAGGCTGAAAAATAGATCCAAGGTTTTTCTTGAAAATATTAGAGAAGCCGAGATATCTTTGTGCTTTTTCATGAAAGAAAACTGAAATCCTATATATAAATGGAAATTGAATGTTTTTGAAGTCATACTAACAAAATATATTTAGAAAGATTTTTTTTTCATTTCTCGTTGCCAACATCACCTACCAAATTAAATTAGAATGAAACACAAACCTTGTTTTAGAATTGCGTTTTATATTTGACAGATTCAAGCAGAAACAAAAGACGAATCAATAATAGTTCCACATTTTGAATATATGACGTGTAAATGTGAGAGGTGCGTTGAAAACTGTATATTTTTTCTATGTATTGATATTTGACCATATTCACGTGAAAACACTGAATATTTTTTGCGGGAGCATTCCAATTATACAAGCGACTTAAATATTCCATGAATAATTGTTATTACGCATGCATGGAATTGGATAAGATGGTCTATTCCATAAATGGGGGAACATGTCGTCCATTAACCTGTTTTTATGAGAGCACTAGTACCGTGTGGTGGCAATTAAAATTATATAAAGAATCAAGGCTTTCACGGCCGGTCAAATCTAGTAAAAATGTTTTTTCCGGGCTATAATGCCGTGGTCGAGTGATATTTCTACCTAACGTTTCGTCTACTGCTACGGTAGACATCTTCAGAGGCGGTGCGGTAGAGGACGAAGTGTTCTCTTTCGTGTTCCTCTGATAACTGAAAAAACTTTTTTACTAGATTAAGATTATGTTTGCTTGCAGACCTTTATGCAAGACAACTAAAACTTCGAAAGGTCGGAGTCTTTTTAACTCTGATTTACCTGCTTCAAAGTCACCAGCATTTTAAGCTTCTCTATTTTGTCCTTTCATTATGGATATCCTTATTCCGAATTTACGCGGCAAAGGTGCAAACTGGCAACGCTTTGTGTCAAGCAAAAATCAAAAAAACCTAAGTTTATTAGAAGTCAGCAGTCAAGCAAGACAAGAAGTACAAAATTATGTTCGGAACCTAATCTTCATATAAAATCATATTCATCCAGCTAAATTACTCACTTTGTAATGTTGAAATATGCAATATGAGATGTTTGCAAATACATTCCGTATGCTTATATGTATACTTCCAAAAATGGAAACATAAAGCAACTTGGAAAAGTCTAGTCAGATACCAAATGGTTGTCTATTGCATTGAAATGCAGAGTAGCCCAAGTGGAGGCCACTTTGGAGTCGAAAGTACGATGGCTGGTTAAACTTGGGGAAAACTATCAGTAAATTTCAAAAATCCTTTTCCTGCGACAGTCGGAAATTAAGTTTCCCATGGTGATTTTGGACTATTTTTCAAGCTGGCTTGAAGTAGGTAGTTCCAACTCCCATTCAAAAAGCAGTTGCTGAGTTGCCGAAGCATAACTGGAAAACGTCATACCCAGACACTGTACCGATGGCACTTCATTTTATACTAATCAAGGGAGAAATTTTAAGTCCAAAGTATGAAAGCAGCTGATGAAGTAGGTAACTGAGAATGAAGAAACGAGTAGGACTCCTCTTCATCCACATTTCAACGGAAGGATCGACAGGAAGAATCAGACGGCGATCAATAGGTATCTCTAGAGGTATGTAAATCGACACCGGCGAAACTGGGATAAACTCGTGTCCTATTTCCTGCTGGTTTAGATAGAGATGCTCTCAGGATACATTGACCGGCTTCACATCCGCAATGCTTTTGAGTGGAAGAGAAATGGACCTTCCCCTAGAGCTGATGATGTTTGGCAGATAACCAGCCGATCAATACAGATATGTACTTCCAGTTTACGTGGCCGATTTCTAGAATATTTGTTTGTGATTTCGGCAGGCCTAGACTACCTACGACTTAAAAAACAACAGTAATCAACCACTTGGTGTGTAGTATTCAAGAAACACTAGGTCTATACAGAAGCAAGAGTAAATCGACTAGGATGCAACCAGGAGAAGGAGACAGTGCTATAAATCATGCATTGGTGCCAGATTTATGTTGTTCCTAGGCTAGGAAAATGATGTACCAAAGAAATGTTTTTCCCATACACTAAGTTGAGGTTTGAATAATGGAGATGGCCTTAGAATACATGTTTTGATCCTGCTTTGTAGCCGACACAGGAGAAGAAGCAAACTGAATGAGATTTTGCAGATATTTTATCTCAGTTATTAGGTAACAATATTCTGCTTTTTTCTCAAAGCAAAAAAAAATAAATAAATAAATAAATTGTTTTGATGATGATTTCTTATTCAAGACTATTTGACAACGTGCCGAACCCTGCTGTTTCTGCTATGCGTGTTTTTATCTTAGGGAATACCCGACCAAATGCCTAATGAAATTTAATGTAAATAGTTCTAAAATATTTTCTTCCGTATGCCTTAGTTAGCACTGTCTTTAATAAAAATAACCAAAACATCGCAAAAAATTGCCTAAGGACGCTAACAGGGTGTCATGCGTGAATTTTAGTACGTAGATCATTATAATGTCATTGTCAAGATGAAATCAAGCTACCAAAACTAAAGCTAAGTATATCTGCTGCTAAAGTGGACGCAAATTTAAATTGTTTCGGATGTTGCGTTCGAAAGTTATTACCTAGTGAGACTGTCGTAGGACACATTGTTTATGAATGAACGAATTGCTATGAATGGCCCCACTAACGATTAAACAAAGAAAATTCGCAGATTGCATAGCAAATTTTCCCCCAGAGTTGCCTAATACGAGAAAGGGGGACGCTAGAAATTGCAGCGAAGAGCCACCTCTCAATAAGGAGACTGTTATACACAGGGTTTGTACGAAATTTCTGAGTTTGAATTTAACGGTTACACGTCAAGATGCATTTCAAACGTTATAATTTAATGAGTACTTTGTTGATTTTACTTGAATTAGAGAAGAGTTGGGGTAATACAACCTATTATTGGTAACTTCTGTGTGGTAATGGTTGCTAGTAATGTTATCTCTATCAAAATTGGAGAAGCGGATAACTCTTAAATCACGAATAACCTAAGCTGTGAATGGTTAAAATTATCCAAAAACTGAAATATTGAATATGCCCATCAGTTGATTTAATCCATTTGAATGTGTTGTCTTTACATATTCAATTTTATGCGTTTAAAACTTACTTTAAATATAAAAATTAAACCCATATTATGTTACTGAATGGATCGTGATTTTCAACTAGATAAGCGTGCGAAGTATTCGATACAGGCATTGTGAAAGAGATTGTAGATCATAACGCCTACAACAGTATCCTTGATGAAACCAATTCCATCAGCAGTGACGTAATACTCGTCCAACATCAGCTTCGGTGTCCTTCAGTCTTGCAAGATTCTTTATTCCCAACTAGACCATGACCAACGCAGCCAGGGAGGGGAATTCATATCAAAACATGTCAGATTTATGTGTGTGACTAGGAGGCTACGGTCCTGAATAAATCCGTATGACGACGAAGTGATCAAGGCTCGCAGCATTCCGAACGACAAAGACGAAATGATGCGGAGGAGCTATGGATTAGCAGAAGAACAAGAACATCTGTTAAGAGCAGGTTTAAGACAGCGAACGGCTACCGCTGATTGGGTGTGCAATCAACTTCGGAAACATTGTGGATACAGGATTATCTACAGGATTATCTAGCTTTCAAAGAATCCACAGCTATTTATGCTATCATTTAATGATGATTCGAAGTGGTGGCCCCTTCGGAGAAAATAGTACGGTGGCCCGAGTAAGGAATACCTCAGCCTTATTCTGTAACTTGCGACCGCAGATAATTGCGCAATAGTTGCTGTCAAGTCGCTGCCAAATGCGAGTTTTCCATTAAAAAAAAGCAATTTGCGACCGGTTGCTGGTTGCTATGTAATTACTGTTCGTAGAGAATAAGCCTGCCTAATTGATACTGGATCAACTGTCGTAGGGATGTTAAAAAAATAGTACACGTGATGCGACCTCCGTGCTTACAACGTGCCAAGATACGTTCTCGAGGAGAAATGGAGCAGTACTTACTTGTAGGGTTTCCCCTGAGAAACATTGCTGCAAACAGAATCGGAAAAAAGTAGGTATCTCACGGTTGCTATGGATCATCAACTAATCTGAAGAAGATCGAATCTCGTTTCAAGAAACGGTTACAGTTGCTGAAGCATTACTGAAAAAGATCAGATACAGACCTCGGTCACCATACCGGTTAGGAGAGCAATTTTGAATCCAAGGTATCGAAACAACTGATGTGGTAACTGATAATAAGAAAAACGGAAACGATTCTGCTTCTTCCACAGTTGAACCGAATGCTCGGGAGGTACAAGCAGACTATACATCCCGATATTTGTGGATGCTAGCGGAACTGGGTTAAATTGGTGCCTGTATTTCTTCTCATAGAAGCTTTCGAAACGAATCCACTGCCTATACACCATCGATGCTGTTTACTGGAAGATGAAACTTCCCGTATATATAATGTTTGGCAGACCACCAACCGATGAAGACGAGGCTGTACTGGTCCCCGTTTATGAGGCTGATTTTCAGGACAGACTCTAAGATTTTTTCAGGAAGAGACTACGGATGAACAGTGACGGAGTAAAGGCAAGACCCGACGAACGGCAGTTATGGAAAGAACACATCCATGACGGCGACGCCGTCTGTTTCTATCAGGTGGTATCAGCCACGGCGAACGAAGCGATTGAGCCGTAAACTACAAGGCCTGTAGAAAGGACTATACAGGATTGTTAAGAAGATCAATGACTTGATCAATGGACGCCGGAAGTCAAGCCGGAGATCGTTCGCGTAGAAAGGCTGGCCCCCCGCAGAAGCAAGAATATACTGACTTGGATGCGCTACTTAGGGAGAACAGCTCTAAGGAAGCGGTCCATGTTATAGTTTTACAGGGTGCGACGTTACCAAATTTACGTGTTCATCAAGTTGTAAAATTGTTCACAATCTGACAACACAACATTGAGGGTCTCCAAGGATGACCCCGCAAATACGAAGTATCAACCGCATATCATGCTTATTGATCAACCTGTATATCTGATTTCTACCAGAAGTTTCGAGAATGTCATTTGACCCTGATGAAATAATCTAGCGAATAACGTAACAATCGAAGATTGATGATGAATAAGTATCTGAAATTTCTAGATTGTAATTATCAAGAAAATTACCAGAAGAATCGAATGGTATGAAGGCCCAGATAGCAAATAAATATTCAATAAATATATTTTTTTTAATATTTTTTAAATATAAAAGCGACAGATTTTTAAATATTATTTAAATATTTTAAATATAATATTTCTGAAATATCAAAAAAAAAATATCACATAAATATTTCAATTGTAATATTTCGCAAATATTAACAAAAAATATTATATCAATATTTCAAATATAATATTGCACAAATATGAAATATGAGAAAAAAAACATCAATAAATATTTTAAATGGGTATATATTACTCAGCTAAATATTTTTTTACAAATACGTTTAAATTAATTTTGTCTATTAGGTATTATTGGTTAAGTTCACAAGCACTCAACTGTTGCCAACAGTTGAGTAGAGGTATGCTCACACATAAATTACAAACCAGCCAGAGCATTGGTTGAGGACAGTCAGGAAGCTAGTTCCAACTAATAAAATTCGCTCTGACCAGTTTGTATAATTTATGTGTGAACAGACCTCTACTCAACTGTTGGCAACAGTTGAGTGCTGGTGAAGGTACCCAATAATAGGTCTGTTTCTGCAGAAATCACAAATCAGTCAGTGCGAATTTCATTGGTTGAAAACACTCAGAAAACTAGTTTCACACATGAAATTATTCACTCTGACTGGTTTGTGATTTCTGCAGAAACAGACCTATTATTTTCGCAAACAGACATTAACAAAAAAAAAATACGAAAAAGAATAGCAACATCATCATTTGGATTTTCCACATCACTCATTGCCCAAACCGTTGATTGCCTAAACCTAATGAATGTCTATATATAGGTACACAGGGCGAAAATTAGTTCGAAAGAGCACAAATAAATAACTTGATTATAAGTTTATCACACCGTAGCCACTTGCACTATTAGTATTTTTGTTTTGAAAAATAATTATCCACATTTAACACCACTTGAAAACTGAAACCACAATTCACAAAAATCCAAAATGCACGCTAAGGACACACCAAACCCAAAAAGCGGCAGAGCATGAAGTAACATGGCGGCATGGATGGCGTCCGTCGTTCCGTTTTTCGTAGACTTTGAATGCGCGCGCATCCTATTTATGTGTTTAATCTTTAAGCCTAAATTTCATATCAAACTTAAGAGGTTCGATAGTTTATTGGACAGTGCGCTCGTTTAACATCGGCGAGAGCCGGGTTCGGTTCTCACGCCGAAAAACTTTCTTTTTTTTTTTGTTTTTGAAACAATGACATAAAATAACAGTTATATAGGGTCATTTTTAATTTTTAGGCTTTATCTACAATTTATGCTAAAAATTTTTTCGACAATAAAGCATTATTATAGGGGTTAATTTTTGTATTTTGGATTTGCTAACTTTCTTTCATTTGAAATACCAACATAATTATTTATTATTACATTATACAAAAACTAGAATACTTACATCACCAAACAAAATAGGAAGGTATTGGTAGGTATTTTGGATTTTTCTGAAATAATATTTTTTAAATATTTTGTAAATAATGGATTTCTAATATTTGCCATTCATTTAAAAGTAAATATTTAATGTATATTACAAAAAAAATATTGCATTTGAAATAAATGGAAAATATTCATTAAATATTTTAATCAAATGATTATCGAACGCATTTTTTTAATTCCGAATTATAATAATATATATAATCAAATAAAAAATCAATGTGAGCAAGTGTGCCTGTTTATAATTAGTACTTATGTTATGATACCCGAACAATTTTTTTTTTCAAGAATTCATTTTGCTTTTTTTCAAATATTTGTCGAATATTTTAAAAATAATGGATTTCTAATATTTTTCATCAGTTAAAGAGTAAATATTCAATGTATATCATAAAAGAAATATTGCATTTGAAATAAATAAAAAATATTTATTAAATATTTGATATAAATATTATAAACCAAATATTTATCAAATATTTGTTTAACATAATAAATATTTAAATAAGATATAAATATTATTGAATATTTAATGGATATTTAATAAATATTTCGTGGGGGGGGGGGGGGGGGGGGTTCGGGCGACTCAGAGGGCGAGGCGATCGCAATTATAATTTATTATTTTGACAGACCTATGTTTTATTTTTTATGAAAAACTCCTAATCTTCTAAATCGAGATTTAAAAAAAAATGCATTTTATTTAAGTGATTGGGGTTATAAAGAGATCTACAAATCCTTGTGTTTGATTGATTATTGATACCTAGCTGCTTTCAGGATGGAAGTTAAAAAGTTCCAAACAATTTTCTTACGGTAAGAGTTTCTCGTCGTTAGTAATTCATTATCTGCTAAAAAGGGTTTTATCATATTTATAAGTTTTTGTTTTTGTTGCTCTATGCTGATGCTTGTTTCGCATAATAATCCAGTAACTCACATCGTCACACATTTTATAGCAGTTTTGTGTAACTTTATGGCGAATTAAAAATTATCTATAGAAAATAACTTAACTGTATTAAATAGAAACCTTTTTCATGGTACTAAAACTTTTACTTTTGCTTCCACACGTTCTGGAGACATGATATGTAACATGTAAGTACCTAGGTAATATCACAAATGACACTATATTTTGATGTAGATTAGCATGATCCATTTTTCTGGGCTTCGAAAATCTATCCAGAAAAAGTGATGTTTTGGTACATAAAAATATAAGCTTACTTGAAATAAAGCCACATCGTTGTCATGGGCAAACCCAATATTATACATGGGATGTGGGACAACTCTTTTCACTTTCATTTTTTGTCCATAAAAAGAGTGCGAATGCCTTCGGGTTATTCCCAATTGGATAGTCCATCCACCAACATCCGAATGGCTGGAAATATAGACAAATGGAATTAAAATTAACTTCTGAAAAGAGACTTTTAAAACTAAAGCATTTAATTATTCTATTAATGTAATGACTAGATGCCGAGAATGGACTTTTCCTGCGAAGTGGGTTGAAATACAATTTTGTCCGCGATAAAAAATGGATAAACATAATAAAAAGGAATTTTAGGATTAGTACATTTATTGCGTTTCAACATGACAGTCTTCCATGTAATCTATCAATCGCTGTTTTAATTACTGGCGTTTCCATTTGAGAGTATTTTTATTTTAGTTAGATACATTTGTTGGCATATTGGTGACATTAGAATTGCTGTGCAATTCGATTTTTTTCATTTGAATAATCCGTTATCTCTGGAACTGTGTCTTTTAAAATGATGGGTTTGTATCTAGTTATTTCAGTTGTCCACTTGTAATAGGAGCTTGAGTGATTTTTTTTTGTCAGCTGATTTTCAACTGCCGTTGACTTTTGGGTTGAAGATATCGCCACCCCTTCAACAAAAAGCTTTCTTTAGCTCCAGCAAAGAAAGGGATCAGAGAAGCCCTTTGCAGAATGTAACTTGAAATAGTATGCAGGTAAGCTTCCAGGAGTATGCATAGGCAAAGGTGTTGGTCGGCAGTTTCTATCAGAATAAAATAAAAACAACTCGTGTTGGGTAGGGATGGAAATTACCACTAATAAATAATTTGCAATTTCTATAAAAAAAATTATTATTTTTTCTATACATACTCCTAATTTTTTTTCTGATTTTCATCGGAGGAAAAGTCCATACATGGCTTCAAACCAAATGCCGCTTTAATCTAGGAAGAGCGAGGTCAGTCAAGCTTGCCCCCCGTGCCGCCTCGATCTTGAAACAAAGTATGCCATCATTTTGCAGAACCCAAACCAAATTTTGAAATTTTGCACCCCCTCCACCGAGAGACTACAGTTGGTTTTCAAATGTGGGGGCAAACTTGACGGTTCGCCAAGCAAGACAATTTTGATCCTATTATATTGTGGACATTTTTGCACACCTTTGTTTGCGGAGAAAGTTATGAACCGTCAAAAAACGAATATTTCCCCCCCGCTAACTATTAGGCAGCGTTCCATTAAAACAGTAATTTAAATCTTACTTTCCAACACAATGCGACGCCGTAAGGACCCACTGATCAGCTATAAGTACTCCGGCACAATAAAACACCTCCTCGGGGCCGCCAAGCAGTGCAGCTAAAAAGGGCCAATCTCCGGGTTTCGATGGGACTCCCCCTACTATCCTAGGAGCCCTCTTTCGTTCGGCATAGCTTTTCCGGGCCTTCCCGCAGACTGAAAAATAACGAAGCCAACTGTCAAGTGAGATATAAATGAATTATTTACTGCGTGTGAAATTTGATTAGATTTCGAGACGATGTTTAAAATTTTGGGAAAAATATATAGATTATAGCGCGTGTCGTTAAAAATGCTAAAGAAAACCCATATTGTGAGATTTTGCAGTGAACAATAGGGATTATCATTCAACTTTTTTTCTGTGATGCATGCGCGAGTTCCGTCGAAACTGTTTAGACAAACACTAGCCGTCGACGACGCCGACATGTCAAATTTATTGATATAAAAATCAGTAAGTACTTTTTATTTTGACATTGAAATTATTTCATCAATAGGTACACGTGCCGGTTGTTGTCTAAACAATTTTATTATATCTATATGTATATGCGACCATCGTGACTCCGTGACAGGCTCTATTAAAACACAAAACAAAGAGCTTTAATAGTATTTGTAAAAAATACTCCTGTTCGTTTTCTTTTCGCTCCAATCTAGGATGTTTTAAAATCAGTCATGCAACTAAAGTGGTTATTTCGTAATTCATTTTTTAAAAACTGGCAAGAAAACGATTTCATAGAAGTAAAACTCCAACCTTTTATAAATGAAGTTGAGCAAATGCACTTGAAGCAATAGGTCTAATATTGCACAGAAAATTCTAATAGATCGAATCTGAAATAGCCAAATGGGTGAATGTATTTCTGGAAAATTCACCTGATATCAACTTCAAATATACAGTCTTTAACAGTAAAGAGTTGGTGGACGAAATCAAATTCGTTAAATCGCCGAATAGCAGCTTAGTTAATTACAAATTTGTTTACCAATATACCAGTATCAGTACCTAGTTCTTAATATTGTCAAAGAGCAAAAGTCACCAGGAGAGCAAGCTCTCAGCCGTATTCTACAGTCACGTTTGATGTTTCCTTTTCTTTCACAGAGGTTATATTCGGCGTGCCCTTTCCAGTTCCTCATTTGAAGATGTGAGCAGCCAGAAAGTGAGCGAGATCTCAGCGGTACTCTGCAGTCACGCATCAGAAGTATTCTTCTTCCGCAGCCGTAACGTTGGGTGCTCAGAGTTCACTTGTTTGATTGTTATAACAAATAAAAACTTTCCGTATTTCTTCCGGATATACCTTTATTGTGTACCTATTTAAATTTTTCTTGTTCTGGTACTTTTTCTTCTTGCATTGCAATCTCTCTGATTTTTGATTTGGATAGTTTATAGATCTGGAGCATTGATTAGAGCGTCGCTGGTACTTGATGGGTTGTTTATGCATCCTCTTTCTACATCCATATCTCTATTTTTATTGATGAAATTTTTGGCCGTTATTTGTTCTCGCATTTCTGTTGCTGATTCAGGAAAGCCAAATTAACAAGATGGCGGATATCGCATAAAAATTCTTGCTATTTTTCGACGGCATTGTGTTGTCTTTCTCCTAGCTGAGCCAGGTATTGCTGCTGTCGGTGCTGATACTAATATCGACGATCTAACCCATCAGCAAGCGCGCGCCATAGTTTTATTGGGAAGCTGGGCAGGGCCCCCAATGTTACAATAAAGCCTGTAGCCATGTCATCCGAGCTTCAACTAAACTGGTCAACATTAAATTCGGTCCATTCAACTTTGTGTCCTATTTTTAAAAAGCTGCAACTTTTTTAAAAATAAATATTTTTGAACGCGGTTTGCGGCTTTCAAAAGCGCGTTTCTCCTAGATTAGGCTGCATGTCACACATTTTTGGTAGGAAAGCTATCATCATGATATACGGGGTGATAAACAAAAACAAAAATTTCGTTTGTGTGACACTTTGCCAAAAAATTTTTTTAGTTGCTACAATATGGTTCGTCACTAAGGTTACATCAATATCTCTAGACATTTTTGTCACTTTTTGTATATAAGCTCTTTGGCCTTAGATACACTACTAAACATCAAATTTTGGTAATGAAATCTTTATGCTATTACTCGAAAACGAGATAACGGATTTACACGATGGCTTCAAATTTGGAAAGCCTATTTCAGTAGATTTTCTATGACCTAAAGAATTTACGCAAGGTTACAGTTTTAACATCATACCAGGCCAACAATAGACAAATAGGTAGGTAGCCAACACGGAAACCTTAAATACTGGGTAAATCATTGGACGTAAAAAAGACACCATAAATGCGCACAAAAAAAAAAATCATTTGTAGAAATTTTTATTAGAAATTTTCACAAATACGAGATTGTCGTCCACCAGGACAAAATCGTCTCCAAAGTTTTGTGGAAAGGAATAATAATATCACTGATGCAGTCTCGATACCGCATTCATCGATTCCCCCCTCAGTAAAACAACCAAATCCGTTCTACCATTCATCATCACACCACCCTTAACAAGCACACCTCCACCTCCAAACAGTTCCCTAGCATCCATGTTTCCTTCCAGATATCGTTCATTTCTCCTTCTCCATACTAAAACTCGTCCATCACTTCCACATAAATTAAACCTATATTCATCTGCGAACATGCACCTACTCCATTCTGCTATTAGCCGTATTCTGCCGTAAGTCCACGCACGTGAAGTCTACGCCTTATGGTTTACGTTGATATCCTTATGCCACTTGCTGCTTGAAAGCACTGGCAGTGTTTGATGGTAATAAGGGTTCTACTCCGTGTTTCATTACGAGCAATCAAACGATCCTGCCTTGATGTAGTTTTTCTCGTTCGACCGCAACGGTATTGGTAGCGATAACTTGGACCGCCATAAGCTCTTTCACTGACTAGTACCCTTTTCACACTTGAAATTAGGTAGGTATGGGTATGCGTCTCTTCTTGATTAATTTTATGGGCTCAAACTTACCTCACAACATTTCTCAATTCATTTTGTCCCAGTTTACCTATCTGGTAAGGTAAAATTAAATTTGTTGTCCGTCGTTTTTAATCTGATACTTTCCGTATGAGGAGCGAGGGGGTGAAGCATATGGCATAAACAGGTGTGATGTCAGGTGACTATGGGCGTTCTAATGTAGGGAGCCACCAGCTCATATTCCTTTGGAGTACTAGATTAAAATCGACGGACTGTAACCGATACAAGATAAAATTTGCAGTTGACACAAAATGTCATGCCATAGAGTTTCATGCTAAATAGGGTTCCATGACAACATTGGTCCATCGTTGTTATGGAAACTTATTGCTATAAAGGATTCCATACACCACCGGCGAGGTTTTTCGTACCGTTGGCGATTTTATTTTATCCTGGTATAATCTTGAAACTGAAACCTTGCGTGAATTTCTTAGGTCATAGAAAATCTACATGAAATAGTCTTTCCGAATTTGAAGCGCTCATGAAAATCCATCATTTCGTTTTCGAATTATAGCATTTTAAAGATTTCATTACCAAAATTTGATGTTTAGTAATGTATCTTAGGCCAAAGGGCTTAAATCCAAAAAGTGACAATAATGGCTAGAGATATTGATGTTACCTTAGTAACGAATCATATTGTAACAACTAAAAAAATTTTTTGCCAAAATGTCACACACACAAAATTTTTGCTTTTTTGCATGATATTGTTTATCACCCCGTATATCATGATAATAGCTTTCCCACCAAAAATGTGTGACATGCAGCCTAATCTAGAAGAGACGCGCTTTTGAAAGCCGCAAACCGCGTTCAAAAATATTTGTTCTTAAAAAAGTTGCAGCTGTTTAAAAATAGGGCAAAAAATTGAATGGACCGTACTTAATGTTGACCAGTTTATTACATTTCAACAGTCTCGAACAGACGCCGTTACATCGCCCACTATATCTGACCGTCGGTCGTTTGGTAGGGGTTTAACTCTAATACACGTTGCAGGCGAAGCTGAAACATTTCCTGAACTCATGACAGTTCAACTTTTCAAATTCATCTGAACAACATTTCTTAGCGAAAAGTTCCACTTCCTGACGAACTACAACTTCCTCATGAACAGTTCGAACTTCTTAACATACTTCTTCCATAGCGTTCTTGAATTTTGAATTTATAAAGTTGCCCTCGTAGGACTTTCTCAAGTCTGGCTTGTTCCTCAGAAATTACGGTTTAAATGCATTCTTACTAAATTTTAAAATGTCCCTGAAGCCGTTTGTGCTCTTCTTAATTTCGGCTTCCTCTTCTTGTTTTCTTTTTCTTTGAGCTTCCTCTTCTTGTCTTTTTCCTGTCTCAAGTCTCTGTCAGGTTTTTCTTTCTCGTTTCGCTCTTTCTCGACTTGTTTCTCTTTCTGTCTCCGTTCTTCTCTTGTTGTTGTAGAACTGCTGCTTGCCAATCCACTTTTTCTCGTCTGCGGGCTTCGCCTTTTTGCCTCCCGTTCTGTTTTCGGGCTTCATGTTCTCATCTTTTTTTCTTTCTTCAGACTTCCTCTTATTGTTTTTTATGTTCGATATTTTTCATGGAGTAAACTTTTTCTAATTTTTAAACAGAACACGATGGAATGTTCTAGGGCAATTATTACTATGCGAACTTGTTTCTTATGTAAAATTCAGTAATGAAGTCAATTATATTTTGTTACTTACAGTTTACAACTAGAACACTATAGAGGTTTCTGGAATAAAACAAGAAATCCGTTTGCAAACTCTCACTTTTTGTTCTCGATAATTAGCTTAAATTAATCTACTAATTGTCTCGCTTATTATCCTCCCAATTAGCTGAAACTAATCCACTAAATAGCTCGCCAAATATTCCACTATGTAGGTAATACACCAATTGCCCCGCTATTGTAAGGACTGCATGTCGGGAGTGAAACAGATTTTAGACTTGGTGGACCGTGTTCGCGAATTCGAAAGATCTCTCGAGGTTCTGCAAAACAATCTACCAGTGCTCGTTCAGGAGTCAATGACTGCTGCGATAGCCTCACTAAATGAAATAATCTCTGATTTCGAATCTCACAACTAGTCGACACTAACCTAAACTAGCAAAATTAACACCCTGCTCAAGCCTAGATATACTCACTGAACTGCATAACCGATCAAAGCAAAGCGATCATTACATCGATTTTTATTTTTTTAACCTACCTGAAACCGGAGATGACCGTACACAGGTGCGTTTGTTGTAACAAATGCTATCAGTTTCTTAGTCCACTATTTGTGAAGTAATTCGATTTGGTGACCCCAACTCCGTAAAAGCTCGGCCCGTTCGCACCTAAGTAGAGGAAACTTGAAAAAGTGCCATTGAACGACCTAAAAAAGCGTAGAGACAGGCGCCCAATTCTCAAGACGAGAAAGCAGAGTTTCTATGATTTATGAAAGTGCCCTGTCCTGACAAAGACAGCAGATCTGTTCTCAGGAGAACGCTGCTCCATTGTTTCGAGTTTCAGGCGCCAGGGCACGCTGGATGTCGAAGTTCATGAGATGCAGATCATAAGTCGTCCAAAAAAATCTTCAGAAGGGGTCAGGTACCACCTGCAGCCCCAATCAAAGGACACCTAACATGGGATTTTTGGGCTTTATGGATTTCGCACCATACCTATGAGATTTCGTCCCATTTAAAGGTTGTTAAGAATTAATTTCTCTACAACATATCAAAAAGTAGGCCAAATCCATAGAGCCCAAAAATCCCATATTAGGTGTGCGTTATCCTTTAAGTTTTCACTATCAGAATGATCGTGGCTCTCCATTAAAGAAATACTTAATCCCGAATAATGGTTGAATTCATTCTACCCGAGGCAGCCTAAACCACAGAAGACACATCATTATGTTGCTCACCGATCGGAGAGGGAACAACTTCCTCCCACAGAAAAATTAAATACTACACATGTCGGATCCATAAGATGTTCCAGCTTAACCCTGTTCCAAATGTTAGCAACGTCATCCTACTTGGATATTCAGGCAAATGCCTTGGAGGGCGGTGAAGGGGTACAATCCATATACACTGGACTTCTCCATAGCGTTTGACAGGATCAACCATGAGGTCCTGTTTAGGAAGCTTGGGATCATAGGTATATCTGTCTCCCTGCTTCAGTGGATTAAACTTTAGATAACTGGTAGGACGTAGATGGTTCACTTGAACAACTTCGCGTCTTCAAAAACCCCAGTATTATCGGAACTGCCTCAGGGCTCATACTTGGGTACACTACTCTTTATTATTTTTGTAAATGACAGTATATCGTGCTTCAGACACTCTCATTCTGCCCTTCGCAGATGATCCAGGCTGTTGACTAGGATAACTAGTCAAGATGATTGCCTCGCCATCCAGGAGGATCTGGATAGTTCAACTAACTGGTGCTAAACTAATGGCATGGAGCTCAACGTATTAAAGTGCAAAGTGATTAAATTTCACAAGGCTAGAACTTTTAATGAATACATTTAACATATTGGTGATGGTCCATTGGACTGTGTGGACCAGATCAAGGATTAGGATATTGTTCAGCAATAACCCAGACTCCTCAATTCACATCAAAATTAACAAAGCTCTGCACATGTTCGGTTTTGTGAAACGCAATACAAGGGACGTACATATCAACTCAATATGTTTCCTATATTGAAACTCAGATGGAATGCTCTGCATCGGTTTGGAGTCTGAGCTACACTTGCCTAGACGATGTATCGAATTGAAAGCACAAATTCTGCACATGCATTGACTACACATTCTGAAACAACTAGAAATTGCATTATGCCTGTGTACAGCATTAAACTTGTTTACCTCCTCTTCTGGCGAACGAGGCAAAGAGATTTTTTTTACACAAAGGCTTCACTTCACCGTTAATTGCCAGTACTTATCTTCCCGAATTAGTTTACATGTTCCACTCCGTAACACTCACTCAAATCAAACATTTCACCAATACTTCCACAGGACTAATAATGCCATTTACCATGTATTCTTAGATTGGGCAATAAACTTCCGAAACTGGATTTTTTCGGGCGATGAGAACCATTTGTGAGATTTGTTGCATCTATAAACTCAAATTATAGCCCTGGTACCTTAACTTCTTGTTTTTGTTATTAATATTCCAAGGGCAACACATCAGATGTTATAGGGTCTGTTTCTGCAGAAATCACAAACCAGTCAGAGTGGTTGAAACTAGTTTTCTGACTGTTTTCAACCAATGAAATTCGCTCTGACTGGTTTGTGATTACTGCAGAAACAGACCTATAATTTACTTTCAAATCTTATAATTTCATTACTCAACTCTATTGGATCTATTGAAGAGTTATGGTGTATAGGTTTCTGCGAAAAAAAAATTGCTAGTCCAGTTTTCACCAATATAGCATGATTATAAGTTTGATACATCATAAATATTTGATTTATCATTATACATGAGTTCTGAGACATTGGAATTCATTATTAGAGCGTAGAACTATAGTTTCAATTGTATATTCAATTTCCAGTTTTCTTCACTTCAAAATAATTTGATTGGCTGAAATGTCTCAAATTACATAGGTATCGGAATTGTTCAATGGTTTCTTGTAACAAATTTATTTGTTTTGAAAATATTACTTTAAGTTTATTTCGATGAAATTGTAGTTGCTAAATTTGTCTATCAAAGGTTTATCTGTTCATCATCAGTGATACATTTTCTTGGTGAGCTAGGATGCCTCGTTATGCATTTTTGTATGATTGTCGTTTAATAGTCCATTTGTTTTATATCAATTTATATTCATTTTTCGAAAGCCAATAAGAGTAGTGAAGTATTTTCATATTTTTCTTGATAAGGCGTAAATATCCCCATCTTTTTTACTAAATAATCCATATTTATCTTCGATTAGAGAAAACTCATTTATAAGAGGTTAACCCTCAATCGCGGAGTTGTATCATTGATCAATGATTTGACAATGGTTTTTCAGTGCCTAATTTATAAGGCAAGCTTCCTGGATGTTCGTTTAAATTGTGGAAGTTTACTCCAATTGCGAAATTGACGATTCGGATCAATCTGTGACAGACTTAATTATGTACAATTTCTTTTCGGTTTTTTTTTTGCGGAATTTTCAATTTCGATTTTATTGTGTTCTAATATTTTGGTCAAAATGAATAAATGAGGTCCTAAAAATCTTGTTTCCGAATTTACTTTGAAACCAAATGACAATTTCTGTGGACGATTACGCTTGTCAATGGCTTTTTTCTGAGTTCTTGATGTTTTTTACTTATTCATTTGGTACACCTTGCAAACACTTGGAAAATAATTCATGTTCTAGAGGGTTTTTTTTTCTGATTTCATGGGTATTGACGTATTATGTTTACACGTTTGCGGCTATCAATTGCATGATCACTTGAACCTGTGTGGGGCCTGATAGGAAGTAGAATTTGTACTTAAACCAATGGTACTATTATAGGCAATCACCACAATATAAGAGTATTATTTTATTTTTCTCGTAGAATCCTAATGTGTTCATAAATTAATTTTGTCTTTCTACTGAGTACTGGTCCATTGGTTTCATGATGACTGTGAGGGGCGACGGGAATTTCAATATTGTGAGTTTTTCAAAGATCACCAATTCGTTTATTTTCAAATTTTGTTCTATTGTCGGAAGCATTTAATTTAGATGTATGATGTATATGAAAATAATTGAATCGAACTGTAACTGGCCGATATAGCTGTGTCAAAATATGGAAAGGATTGCCCAAACTTAGAGAATTTTTCGAAAATTATAAAAACTTTTGTGAATCAATAATGAGTAGATACCTATAAATTTTGATTATTATTTTTTTTTCATAATAATAATAGGATATATCGGTCAAAAATTATATTAAGTAGTAAAACTCTTGTATAATGTCAAGCTTTCAAAACTAATTTGTTTCTTCTTCAGGACTTAAAAAAAAATATATTATAATATAATAAATAACAAAATTTTTAACTAAAACAATATTGAAGAGAATTATTTGGAAATATTACCTATAATTTGTACATACCTTATGAGTTTAATTAAATATTTGTTGTTCCATTCTTGTATTATACCTACTTCTATATTCTATCTCGTTTTTAACATAAATATAATGTATTTAAAAATTAATGAAAAATAAAATTCACTTACTGTATGCAGTACAAAGTAAGTCGACTGTCGGATAATTAGTGCCATTACACGAAGCGAATTCTCTAATTAAATTGAATCTACGATGTGGCTGTTGCTCTCTGGTGGGGTATCGAGAGCCGGTAACGATGTCTGTTGATTTTTTGTGCAGGTTTTTTATTACTTTGCTGTAGTTGGTGTTACTGAAAAAAAGAAAACGATACTTAAAGCATTGTCTTGTGACATGAAATGGTACTCATACTTTAAGAGTTGTGAGTTGTAAAAATTATTTATTATAATAATTCATAGTTTCGCAGGTGTGGAAAAAAGATAATTAATAATGGTGGATTTATAACGCAGGCGGATTTAATGGAAAATACCCGTGTGTAACTTCAAAAGTATTTTTGAAATTTTCTCAAGATTGCGTTGTTAGTGAACTATACTTTTAGGATTGCTGCAATCGCAACACGCTGAAACATTTTGCCTACAATCATTAATGCAGCGACAAATTTGGGATAATTTTTGTTTTTGCCCCTGTTGTAAGGCAATATTTTGTTAGTAAACACCCAACAATAATTTTTTGATTTCACTGAGGTGCAAAATTTTTGGTTAAAACATTGAAAATCGATGAGAAGTTATTCTATGTTGCTTTAGTCCGTACATACGCCACTTATTCGCTCCATAGCACTTGAGTAGAAACTTGTTCAAGTTTAAACTTTCTTATACGTAAATTATTCCCTCGTATTCAAGTTTTTGGTGCTGGTAATAATGTTTGAACGCAAAAATTCAGTGGTAGGTACATACTATCCGAGTGTGCCGCAATGTGACATAGGTAATCAGTACTTTGATAAAAAGATAGATATGCTCAACAAAAATGCACTGCACTTTAAACTCCCTGCAAGAGGCTTGCTCAAGTTGGCCCCCATATTCGGTTTTGTACTGTTTCTCAATTGTAGTAAATTGTGCTCGTTTTGTGCTCAATTTTGCGGATCTTAATGATAATAATTGTGCTGTTTTCCGTACACAGTTTTTTTTACTTTTAGGTGAGCAATAATCCCAATTAAATGTAAAGCTAAACATTAGCTATTCGTTATGTATTTTGTTATGTAGGTAAATATTTGTTATACTTCCAGTAGATTGTTACGGACACCAAATTATATTATTGTTAAAAAGATACTTATTAATTAATTATCAGTATTGAAGAAAAGAAATCCATTAATTTTGTAAGTGTAGAATATTTAAAATATAAACAGTAAATGAAAAAGAAAAATCAAGTGTATGACGATTTAATTGAAAGACATATTGAAAAACAAATTACAGCTGCGTTAAAAAGAAAATTCCACACAAATCTGAGGCCACCAACTGCAGGTTTTGGAGATTTAAACCTGGATCAAAATGATGTCGCTGCTATGGATGTTAACGCTGGAAAATTAACTGTGAAATGAGACATAATTCTACCCTTCGATCCCGATGATTGCCATCATACAACTGTTTCGTGGCTGAATAAAATCGATCAACCCAAAATTCACGGATGGGCTGATTACGAAAAATCGGGATACATGCAAATGAAATTGAAGGGCGCAGCGCGTGAGTGGTTCTTCCGTTTGCCCGGCCAACTACGACAAAACTTGGGCAGAATAGAAAACGGCCCTATCCAGAGCTTTTTCCAGGTGTGTAGAATATGCCATACTTTTAGAGGAATTAGTGGCAGGAAAAGTAACCCAATAATGCAGACTTGACTACGAAGCTACGATTTCCTGCATAATTCGGGGACTTCCTCAAGAATTACAGCCCAACGCTCGTGCATTTCAACGCTCCACACCAGACGACCTACACTGAAAAAAAAAGATTCACAAATACAACGAAAAAGTGCATTAAGCCAGTGAATCTCGTCATTAATATTGAGCCGGTGAACGAATTTATTGATATTATGAAAACTGGTTCGTTAAATAGATAAAGAAATGTTCATTAATTTAACGGTTGAATTCATTGTCGCAGAGTAAGCTTTCTATCATTTTGACGTATAGAATTCGAGTGAAATAACTTCTTCAATATAATGGACAATGGACAAATAACATTGGTTTAATGAATCGAATTTTCAAATTAATGTATGCGATTTCATTGGCTTAACGTATGACTGCATTATCCTAGGCTCAGTTGCATGAACAAGAATATTCATATTATGGGTTCGGTTTAAGTTAACCGAGGTGAACTGTGATTAAACCCTCAAATTTATTAGGCATGTAGAATCATCATCATCATCATAGGCAATCACTCGATACCGAGTATGATTATCTTCTATTCTATTCTTCGTCGATTATGCGTGTTCTGATGTCTATATTAACCAATTCTGGAGCCGCACACTCTTCCACAGTCTTGGCCCACCCAGTCTCTGACAGCATTGTCCCTTCCTCTGATCTCTCGCTCTCTCCTGCGTTCCCTCTTTTCGGTCTCGTGTCTGCGTCGCTGTTCTTCAAAAGTTTGTGGTCCATCGTGGACTACTCAACTCCACGAAGGCCTATCATTTGTCCTCGACTCCCAGTTGCTGATATCGATGTGGCACTTTGCCAAAATTTCCTTGAGAACATCTTTGTAGCGTTTTTGTTGACCTCCTTGACTCAGTTTTCCATCTTTCAGCTGACTGTAGAGAATCTATCTTGGAAGACGTGTTTCGGGCATGCGAACGAGGTGACCTGTTAAGTGAAGTTAGCGCTTGAAGAAAAGGGCTTCCAAGTTAGCTGGGTTGGCCTCCTCTAAAACACTAATGTTCGTTCGTCGGTCTGGCCATTCGATCCGTAGGATCCTTCTTAGGCATCGGTAGCGGTATTTTTCTAGGCTTTTTATGTAGGTGGTCCATGTTTCGCAGTTATTTATGTAAGTGTTGGTATTACAACTGTACCTATTGTAGACACGAAGTTTGATCTCAGCGCTGATGTCGTGATTGTTGCAAACTCTGTCTAGAAGTCGTCCAAACGCCGCGATAGCACACTTCAAGCAATGTTGGATTTTAGCGTCAATGGTTGCCTTCGCTGAGAGATGGCTCTCGGGTAGTGTCCCACGTTCTGCAATGTTTTCTATATACTATAAATGAAGAAGTTATTCCACTCAATGAAATACCTGAATTCCGAATTTCTTCCAAAAAGAGTTGAATTAAACACCAACACAAAATATAATTTCCGGATAATTTACGATATACTGTCGATAATATGGAGTGCGGGTGTGTTCAATGAATTCTATACGTTAGCATGACGAATAGGTCTATATCAAAACTATAAAATTCAATAAATTAATGAGTAAAGTTCGTTAGTTATAAACGTTCATTAAATCACTAACATATACGTCAAGCTGATGAAACATATTCATTAATTAATGAACTCTTGGTCATTGATACGATGCATAACTTCATTGACACAATGAAGAAAGTTCCATAGGTATGATGAACAAACTTTTTGGGATAAGAAATAATCAGCAGTACAATGAATGTGGTTTATGAACGATTATTCATAAAATCAAGGAATAGAATCACTGGTCTTCAAAGAAAGTTCCTTATACTGATGAAAGTGTTCTTTAGAATGATAGTAATGAACATAAATTCGTTAAATTAAGGGACGAAGTAATTAGGTTATGAACACTGATTAATTGGATTGATGAAATATTTCATTTAATTAATCAAAAAAAAATAACAACCGCCATTCGTCAATATTATGAACGATTTTTTTTTCAGTGTATATGCTGGATTTATTGCCCCCGTGGATAATTACCAAAGCTCCCCAAAAAGCACGGTGCAGTCCCAGTTGGGAAAGCGACAAAAAATTGAGTGACACGTCTATGGAAAGTTGGGGCACTTTGCCAAGGACTGTTGGAGACGCAGTAAACCAAGCACTTCGAAACAGGGAGGATTGTCATCATGCCACCAAGGACTGTTTCAAACGTCAAAGTGGATCAAACCAAAGACAGGACGTGAAGCGATGCGATGTGTGCAAAAAAAAAAAACAGGACACCGTGGAGAATATTGTTGGCATAAGAGCAAGAACGTCGAAAAAGTTAACACTTACAAAATGATTTATATAAAATATGCATTGAAATAAATAATAATCCGTTGAAAGGGTATTTAGACACAGGAAGTTCAATAAATGTTGCAAATATGAAAGTTCTAAATAAAACGAAATTACAATTAATGCCCTCTTATACGGTTTTTAAAGGTTTTGGTGGGTCTTTAGTTATGTCGAAAAGCACGATAAAAACCGAGGTTTTATTAAATTATGATATACGATTTTTTTCAGAAATAATAATACTAAATACACCCATGAATGACATTGATATTATTATAGGACAACCTATATTAAATCAACCAAACTTAATACTAGAAATAAAGCCCAATCAGGTGACACTATCAAAATACGAAAATAAAAATAATTGTGAAGTCAACCGTATAGATTATCAGAAAAATAAAAAACAATAATGCGAGACTAAATAGGTGAATTATTAACTGCAGGTATTATACAAACTCCCAGTTCATCTTATGCTAGCCCCGCGATTTTAGTAAAAAAACCAAATGGAGATTACCGGCTTTGCATTCACTATAGAAAATTGAATGCAATTACTGTGAAAGACCGTTATTGATTACCAAATATTGAAGATCTTATCAACAAATTAGGCGGAAATAAGTATTTTTGTAATCTAGATATGAAGGGTTATTATCAAATTCCATTAGCAAAAGATTCTATTGATAAAACCGCATTTATAACTCCGGATGGGCAATACGAATTTCTTCGCCTACCATTTGGTTTATGTAACGCGCCTGCAGCTTTTCAACGGTGAGTACATAATATCATGGGTTCGCTCCGTCATTCAGAAATTTTAGTTTATCTTGATGACATTTTAATATCGTCAAAGTCAATGTCTCAAGGCATGGAACAACTTGAAACTATCTTTAAAAAATGCGAAGAAAATGATTTTAAATTAAACATAGAAAAATGCTATTTTTTCAAAATTAAAATTGATTTTCTTGGGTATGAAATTAGTGAAAATGAAATAAAACCTGGTTCAAAAAAAGTGAAAGCTATATAGGATTTTAATATTCATAAAATAAGGCAATTCCTAGGTTTAAGTTCGTATTTTAGGAAATTCATTAAAAATCATGCCAAAATAGTTGCACCAATAACAAGATTACTTAGAAAAGATGTAAATTGGGAATGGGGTGAGAATCAAAATAAAGCAATTTCAAAAATAAATTCTATTTTAACAAATGAGACTGTTTTAACGATTTTCAATCCGTAGACAAAAAATGAACTACACACTGATGCTAGTTCAAAAGGCATTGCAGGTATTCTATTTCAGGAATAAAATAACGGATTAAAACCAATAGCTTATTATAATAGAACAACAACTGTGGATGAATCTTTTTACCACTCATATGAATTGGAAACTTTAGCTGTGGTAGAATCGAATAATTCACGAAAAATTGAAATCGAATACAGCGGACCAAGAAGTAAAATCCTCATATTGTCTTAAAAACGACAAGGTTTATAGGAAAATATCGAATGTTGAATTAAGGCTTGTAATTCTAAGAATATGTAGGTTTAATATAATGAGATATTACCATGACGAAATAGGTCATATTGGCTTGAAACGGTGTGAAAATTTAATAAAAAGTACATTTTGGTTTCCTAAAATGACAAGATTTATAAAAACATATGTTTATGCATGTATTGATTGAGCGTATAAAAAAAGTCAATATGGTAAAAAAGAAGGTTTTCTTCATCCTATACCCAAACCAAAGGAACCCCTTTGTACATGGCATATTGATCACTTGGGACCTTTCTGTAAAACAAACAAAAATTACGCATACATTTTTATGATCATCCATTCATTTTCTAAATACTTGTTTGCCAGGCCAACTGAAACGACAAACTCAAAAGAAGTAATTTATTGTTCAAAAAATTTATTTAGTATATTTGGAGCACCAAAGCGAATTATTGCAGATCGTGGCAAAGGCTTCAAATCTAAAACATTTAAAGAGTTTTGCGACGAAAGAAAGATTTAATTAGTTCTAAATGCTCCACCTCGTTCAAATGGTCGGACGCTAGACGCTATAATCGTACTCTCTTAAGCCGCGTCCAGATTAGTAAATAAATGCGTTGCGTTGAATTCGGGACTCGCCACAAATTTTTGCGACGCAAATTTGACATCTTGACTGACATAAATATTTGTGTTGTGCGCCGTGCGTTCTTGCTCAACGTGTGTGTGCCTATTTTATTTCAGTGTGCGCGTTGCTTGTTTTTGGTTATTTGTTTGGTTCGCGAAAAAATGCGTCCACACTAGAACTATGTTGCGCCGCAAATCTCTTTGATGTCTTGAAAAAAACCGACAAGCCGCGAATCGCGTGCGGTGAATGCCGCGAAAATTTTTGCGTGCGTCCGTACGTGGCGAACAGGTCCACACTCGTATAAATTTGGATCGCACACACAAATTTGTGCCGAATACCACGCACAACGTAAATTTTTACTAATGTAGACGCGGCTTTAGATGGTATAAGTACAAGTGTAGAAAATGAAAACAAATGGAATGACAAACTACCAGATGACCTCAACGCCTCTACCGCGTCTTTATACCATCATCCCGAGATGGTTAAAAGATTGACAGACCGAGTTGAAACCAAAACAGAATTTTCGCGACGAATGTAGTTCATCCAAGGACGAACCATAGTTCAACTTGTGACGTCTAAAACTTTCTTTAAATATCTTTCCTGGTCTTTGCTTGAAGTTCCAAAAACACGCCGGTGAAGTGACAAATTGGATAACTTCCTTTTTTCTCGGATAGAATGTTCTAGAATCTTCTTGAAATGTCTTTTCTGAATGTCGATTGATATAGCAAACACGTCGGTGAAGTCACAAATTCAATATCTCCCTTGGTTTCCAAATAGAATGTTCTAGAATTTCCCCGAAATTCCTCGAAATTCTTTTTCTGAATGACGATTGATGTATCGAATACGTCGGCGAAGTCAGAAATTCGATATCTCCCTTGGTTTCCAAATAGAATTATCTGGAACTTACTTGAAAATTCAAAGTATACAGTCACTTCCGGGGTAATTTACACGATCGGTTAAGTCACTTTTGGTGATTGTCATTGCTTATACTGAGTAACAGTCCCAGTGTTCACTATAGTGTCGACACTAGTGTCCGCGCACTATTCCGCATTCGGATTTCACTTTGCAGTCCTCGAATTATGTCTCACTTCTGACACCAATGTCACGGCTCTGGGGTGCGTGACAGAAATCTTGGGTTCGTTTATTCCAAATTAAAGTCCAGTTAACACAACAATAATTTATTCTACGTTACTACATACTCTGACACTAATTACTTCACTAATTAACTCAAACAACTAAACTCTTTACAACTCTAAACAATAATCACTATTCAAATCATATCACAGTCAATCTTAAACTTAAAACTACTAACTAATACCGGCCTTTATACATCCGCGATCTATTCGTGTAGAATCCAGAATAAACGCGATGATCTTTTTGTCCGAATGCAGCAGTATTTACTAGATTCCAAGTTAGATTCTGTAAATGCTGGCGAACGCGCCACAATTAGTTTTTTTTTTCTTTATCTGCAATTAATCCAAAAACTAGTTTAATTAGTTAGGTTTTAATAATTGTCGCCTGATTTTTCGGAAATAAAGCATTTAAGTTTCAAAATGTTGTGTTTTATTTATAAAATGTATTGCTACTTGTTACTTTGTAAACTTTGCGTTACTGTGCCGCGCTATTATACCGATAAGTAGGGGTAATAGCACAAATGAAGATTTTTTTTTTAAAATGATAAACAAAACAAAAAAATCTTTGTAAAGTTTTGTATTTGGAGTATTAAAATATGTAATATTAGTAACAGATAACATACATTATGAAATGATTCGGTAGATCTAGTATATTGTAAATCGAACAGTTAGGTGATCAGTTATAGTGATATAGTTTAATAATCAGTTAAGCTTTATTTGACTGATTCGAAGTGTTGAAATAGTGCTAGTTATATCGTAGTTCCAAATATAGTTTCAATGTTCAAATGAGAAGTCTCAATTATCTGCGAGCCTGCATATGCAAGAATAGGTATCATGAGGGCTGTAATATGAGTTCAAAAATATACGCTTATTGGATCATATGGATTTTCAAAAATTCAAAGTACTTATACACGCCATTGAAATTACTTTCACCCTGGTCTCCGCAACCCGCGGCGGTCTTTCTGTGCAGGATGATGGAAAACTTATAAACATAACAAATACCTTTATCGAAATTAATTATTTCTATTTCAATATTCTGTGTCTATGCTGTTAATTGCATAAACAAGTCAACATTTGTGATAAATAGATCAAATCAATGAAAGGTAAAGTCACAAATATTGCTGACTATTTCGATAAAATGGAAGGATTTCAGGCATCGCGTACTCTAAAGCGTGGCGGAAATTGAGTCTGTTGGCTTGAACGTAATGGAGCATCAGGGCATGGCTGGCCATTTAAAATAAATCATTTGAAAGTGGCACTCGAGTTTGGTCTCGAATACCTTTCCGATGACACAAAACACATGTACGATATGACCTAAGGACATTTATTTATCTTGTCAGGAAAAGTGGTGTTTCATAGGTCTATGTTTGTTTTGGATCTAGACATACAATCGTATTACAGTTCAATGGCTGAGAAAATAATGGATACGCTAACCATTAATTAAATGCAGAGTTTTGTGGTATTTATATTAATTTACAATATGATATTGATGTGCCTATAGAATAGTTGTCATTTAGTCGAAATTTTTTTCAATTAATAGTAAGTCATTTTAAAGACAAACTAGACAAGGGTATTAATATAAGACATATTCGAATAAAAAAGGATAAAAACTTACGCGTATCCTAGTAAAAAACATATATTCTTGGACAGATGTTCATCCCATTGAGTAATACAAGCTGGTACCCATTTTTCCTGATCAGGTCTAAAAACTTCTAAGCGACCTCTACCTTCATCTCCATTTCTGTCACTCAATCGAACTGCAAGAAAAAGCTATCTTGAAATAAGAGAAATAATCCACATAATAAAATCAGTGGGCTATAAAAATACTCCATACATTTAGTGGGTATTCACACCTAAGTAGCATGCGACGTGCGACTTGCTGCTAGAAAGCAAGAAGCATGCTACTTATTTTAGAACCTTTAGAAATATAGGGCAGGTTTCACACTGGAGTGGCGTCGCAAAAATGAAAAACGCAAGTTGTAACGTGCTTCCTGCTTTCTAGCAGCAAGTCGCATGTCGCATGCTACTTGGTGTGAATGTCCACTAAGAAATACTACTCACGGCAATTCCTTTCATCTTGGCCCCAAGGGCAGTCAACTTTGCCATCACACATATGCTCTTGATTGATACATTGATCAAAGCCACAATGAACCAATCCGGCGCCACACTTTTTGCAGTTGAGTTCATCAGATTGGTCTTTACAGTCAACATGACCATCACATTGCCAGTCCTTAGGGATACACCGTTTGATGTCGCATTGAAATCCGGTTGGACAAACTAGAATAAAATATACCTATGGTCCCAACATACCAGAACATGATATGATTTTGAAACTACACGGAATTTTCAGCCATAATATCAGACACTGAGATTGATTGAAACTAAGTAATTTAGAATTACACTAAACTTAATTATAAATTAGGGACTCAAACTATGAGAAATCGATGCTATTTATAAGAAAACAAATTGAAGATCATCAAGTGATAAAAATTGTTAGTTTCCTATTAAACAACATTTATTTTGAAAATTGGGATTCAAGACGTCTCAAAAAATCGCATTTTTGAATAAAAATATTTGCAGGGTGAACAATCTCATACATTTTCATTATCAAATTCATCAGAAGCGCAACAACCCTGGCTGAGTCCTGGCCTTGGCAACTTTCTCATTCGAAACTTCATGTTGTAGGGCACCGTAGTTGTCATGTTGGAGCGACGTAGTTGTTTATGTAGCACATAATAAATGCTATTAGCAAGCATTATTCGTCTCTTGATCTCATCTGTTTCGTTGTTGGTGGAGGTGACCAAAGATCCCAGGTAGACATACTAATGAGTGACCTCGAAGTTCTCGTCACCAATGGTAAAGTTTTGTCCGATGTTCCTTTGAGGTTGTTTTGTAGATGCTACCATATGAGCTTGGTTTTAAATTCATTGACCTTCAAGCCGACGCTCTCAGCAGCACTTGAAAGTGACAAAAAAAGTTCTCTTTGAGCTTGAAGTGAACTTGTTACTACATCGACATCATCAGCATATGCACCGATTTATAGAATATGGTGCCACTTGTATTAATGTGTGAATCTCTGGCAGCTTTTCCCAGAGCAATGTTTAAGAGCAAACAAGCTAGCGCATTACCTTGTCTAAGGCCCTTTTTTTCTTAAAGCTCTTGGAGATATTCTGTATTTCTACGCTGTTGATTACTTTTCTCATTGTAACTCTGGTGATGTTTATCAGTTTTCCAGGTATGTAAAGTTCATTCGATGCCTCGTACAATCTGATTCTAATTATGCTCTCATGAGCAGCTTTCAAGCATATGGCATGTGTCGAAGGTTTTATCCAGTATCTGTTGGAGTCTGAATATCTGGGCAACTGTTGAACGTCCAAGTCGAAATCAACAATAGTAGTTTCCAATTTCTCTCTCGACATAAGGTTTTAGTTTTTCGTACATGGTGTTTGAGAGGACCTTGTAATTGGTGTTTAAGAGGGTTATGCCTCGATGTAGTTTTTGACATTACTTAAACCAGTTTTGAAACATTTGAGACGCGAGGAAATGCCCCAATGGCCATTAACTAATTCTTCGGAGTGTTCCGCCCATCGATTAAGGATTGATAAATACATTATCATGCTTCAAAATATATCTTTCATAAAGACAATAAAACTGATATTACGCATAAAAATTAGAAAAAAAAACAAAGGCATATTTCCTAAATTAAAAAAAATAACAATTATGAAATGAAATGAACAAAATGTATTGACACGTCAAATTTTTCATTAGGTATTATAATTTTTGATACCAGGGTTTGAATCACGCGATATGATGGAAGGGCCATAATAGATAGTAGGTATACTCATTGTGACGGTTAGTTCCCGAACAATGATGCCACTACAGCTTATCCGCGAGGAAACCAAGGAAGTTCAATAACTGATCTTCGATATTTCGATGCCAAGACACTAAATGATTTTTTTTTTCAAGAAAAAATCGTAAAGTAACACAGGCTTATGGTTACTTTTTCCACTGGTGCCAGAAGTAATATTTTTCGGAGTAGGTACGACTCTTTTGAAAAATTAGGAAAAATTAGATTTCCAATAAATAATCTGCAAAAGCAAATTTGAGCCGTATTTTTTTGATCAACGTATTACTTCATGTTTTTGAAGCGTATTCGTTGCTGACGTCATTAAGCGTGAATTCAAGAAAATCAAATTTATTGAAGCGTTTCAAATCAAACAACAAATAACATAACCTCAACTCTCGACCAACAACATAAACATACATTGTCTTGTTCTATGTCGTGCGTTTGTCTCTTGGCAGCATATTTATTCGAACGCAGAAGCAAAGCTTGCAGGAGTACTGAATTTATTTTTCTAATAAATTATTATATTATGTTATTTTCAATTGTTCCCGCAACATTTTGATACTTATGACAGTGTTGACTTGACAATCCATATGTATTCAAATCAATGAACTATAGCTAAAAACTGGAATGCGCACACATTGCCATATCTGCCAAAAAGAAGCCATGAAAGACAGATGCCACAAGGGGGAATGTTGTTTTTTTCTGTTGCCCGCTGACATATGACGTTTTCGAAAGTTTTGTCATATTTCCCTTCACAGGTTTCATCAATTGGAATACGTGTTGGAAGCAATTTTCGCCATTTAACATAATGAGTGCGACAAAAACAGGTATCCCCTCCGTAGCAGCCGCACTAGGCTTCAAGTTCGTCCTTATGTGTTAGCATTCCAGTTTTTGGTTATAGTTCATTGATTCAAATACACGTCCGGGATGTTTTCAAATACGCTTCAATACAAACCGACTGTGACGTATAAGTATTTTGTTTATTCTTCCAGTGAAAAGAAAGAAAAGTCCCAAGTCCCATCCATTCTCAAAAACTAAATTAAGTGGATCTATGTGTAAAATGACGAAGATCTGAATTATTATCTCAAAAAAAAAAAATTGATAAAAGAAACAAAATGAGAAAATTGGTAAAACAAATGTTTTTCTTTTTTGAGGATAAAACTCTAAAAAAATAATTTGAAAGAATACCTATCAAGGCCCTCTTTCATTTGCGACAGTTAATTTCTCTTTTTATTATAATCTTGCTTCATTTGGTATATCCAGAAATTAAATTTAAACGCTGCCAAGGGAAACATTAAGAGTGATAAATTTACATTTAAAAACGCTTCCATATTAAATTAAAATGTTTTGGTATAAAATAATATAAACTGCCGCCTTAAAAAGACCTAGCGTCTACAGAATACATTTTACGGCAGAGTAAAAAGTTAGTGTCATATTAAATTAAATTATGTTACCCGGGATGCTTTTGCTCTCGTGAGACGCTAACGTTATTACGATTAGTAGTTTTCGTGAGGAAATTAGATGCATACAGTTTAAACAACTTAAATTAGTACCGGAAACTATAGACATACAATTAGTTACTTTAATTCTTTAATTTAGGATTTCTGATGTATGATCCCTTTCGAGCTGCTTGTTTAATCAAGGAATATTATTACATGAATAAAGTTTCGTGCTTATTGAAACTATGCCTAAATATGAAAAATTAATAATAATTTCAAAAAGCAAATTTTTGGGTTAGTTTTTTTTCTAATTCGAGATGAATCTAATTCTCCAAACGCAAACACATCTTTCTTCTTATCAAGAATAAGAATATTCATCAATATTATTTTATTGGTGAGTGTCTTTATGTTTCCTTGATGACGTTTTTGATAGTTTATGACGATGATGGTTAAAAATACTGGCGAGTAGTGTACAGACCAAAGCCCGAAACGGTAAAAAGATCCTGATTAAAGTATATAAATCTAGCACGTGGCACTAGGTACTCTAATATTCAGAAATTTCGTAATAATTAAATCAGTTTAACTACACTTCAAAATATGCGAAGTTCGCTCGGTGATATTCAATTAAGTTCAAGATTTAATAAAGCTAACAAAATATTTTGCTGCCAGAGCAATCCTGCAGAAAACTTAAAAAAAAAATTGTTACGTTAGCGAGTTAGTAGATGAGTGAGGTTACTTTTACATACTTAAGAAAATTTGATTCAAGACGAAAACAAAAAAATCACTATAAAACCAGCACTACTACAAGACGCAAAACTATTAAAAATACACTTGGACTGTTCACTGTCTAATTCAAAACTTTTGAAACTCACTGAACGTTTAAGTCAAAAACACTTCTCAGCTGCTCGCATTGACGTCGCGAGCTGCTTTCATACCGTTTCAAACATTCTGTAGTTGTCTCGATAATTGTCTTTCAGAAATCTCCGGTAACACCGATCAATAGGTAACTATCTGGCTAGATTATTCCTTCAAGGCCAGAATCCACGAATATTCCAGTCATTAGGCATACTGGGGACGATCAGAAGTACGACATTCGGGTTAAAATGATATGTCTGCTGTTTTATAAAAATATAAACGAAGCTTGATTTTTGGTGCAATCAATTCAGCGTCCGGAACTATTAGAATGCTATTTTGATTGTGGTTTGAACTAGGACAATAATACAACCAATTATTATAATAGATACATAAACAATCGCGATAGGAAAAAAGTAACAGACCTCGAGGTTTTTTCACATTTATACGTTCTCAGGTTCCTACGGAACTTGTACCAATTTTGTTATGCTACGCCACCGCTTTGCCGCTACTGTCGCGCCACTGACCTTTAACGAAGCTACCAGACCGCCATATATCGCTTAATCAGCAAAGATATTAGGTTTACGTATATGTTGTATTTTTCCAGCTTTTTCCTGAGAGATTATTCTTGAATCAACCTCTGAACAATATTGTCAATCGGGACTTTAACTCTAATGTCAATAGGGACTTAATTGTTAATCGGGTTTTAGTACTATCTAGTAATTAGTAATATACTTTTGATGTGTAATTGTTAATAAAACGTTACAACGGAATAATTTTATGCCAAGAGACTTGTTTCTTCTCCCTTCCTAAAAGAACTTAACAAATTTTGGCGACGACGATCGGATTAGGGTGAAACGAAAAGCTTTGCAGCGTGATATCAATCGTTCCAGATTGCATCTGCCAGTATCGTAAGTAGATAAGTTTTCAGAAAGCATTTTCTAGATTTTATTTCGTACTTATCATCATGGCTATTGTACCTGACACCCGAAGTCAAACTAGCTCACGTCCCGAATCCCCTTAAAGAATCCTTGCATCCAGATAATCATGACAATAACGCTCCTAAAAATGCTAAGTCAGATATTCCCGCAATCATTTCAGAGAATTTTGATGGCGATCGCACTAAACTCTTCGATTTT